AAATGGTACAACAACATTCCCACTGTTGCACATACACTATCTGTTTTCTGGTGCACTTTACTGACCCTTAAATGCCTCAGTGTCAGTTTTTGAATTTGCTACATGTGTTTTTTTCTGTAGCTGGTTTCACACTTTATTATTCAAAGTGATACTGCATTCTTTAGGTCTGAGAAGTGGCTGTAAAAGACTGTATTTTGTACCTTCATGGAGCACAGAGGCGGTGGTCAGCTTTGATTTAAAGTGGACCCAGTGGATTCCAGTAGTGACAAAGTAATAAAAGTTGTTGCTGAAAGAAAAAAACAACCATATAAACCTGTCAAATCACTCTTACAGCATTGCCTACTCTTCTGCCATCAATCTTTATGCTCGGTGTGTTCCAGTCAGTGATATTTTTCATCAAAATATGACCAACTACACTACACCCACACTATTATCCCCAGCTCTTCCCTCGATTGAACTTGTATATGCTGATACTCCCATATGCAAAGTACAAATTCACTTTCTATGGCCACTTTTCTCATGCATGAAAATGAGGCAATGTAACATTTTCTGAACAACAGCCTGTGAGCCCACAAGAAGCAGGTCGGGGTAATGGCAAATGTTAAAATGTAGTGTAAGAGAGAGGAGTCATAAAGTAAGAGTACTGAACTGAACAAGAGTGGGTTTTATTTCTAATGAGTTTAACTTGTATTTTGTAAAAAGTACATTGTAAAATTTCTTCTTTTAAAAGTCATATACTTACACTTCAGAGTATTGCTAGCTACTACTATTGTTCTTACTATCCACATATTAATAGCTTCAGCTGGGTAGCCATGTATGAGCTATGTATGAAAAAACTGCTTCTTATAATGGCCATGAAAGAATATATGTAAAACATTTTTAATATGAACAATTTTCCCTATTACTCTTAATGGGAAATATTTTATTACTATTAGTGCAATACTCTCGGAAATGTGTCCATTGTTCAGGCCTTTCCTCCACCGGATCACTATTTGATGATATACACACTGTTAAAACAAATCTGAGATGATTCCTGTTGTTTCCAGGAACCTTTCCCTTCATCATAACTTATTTTCCCAGTGTTGCCCTAACCTCTGTACTCCAAACGCCCATCACATACACAGTCACATCTCCAGGGTGGCATGGCTGCTTAGTGGACATCCCATAGCTAAAAGGTCACTGGTTTATCCCGTGCAACAGCGAATGAGTCTCTGAGCCGACGTGTTGTCTTGTAAGTTTAAACAAGCGAGTAACAGAACGTCTACGTGCTCATTCATTGAAGCAAGCTCATAACAAGCTTGCTTGGAGTGGTTAATTTGATATTGGATATTTTCCTTATTTAGTCATTTAATTTTGTTTAGCAATTAGCCATTTAAGTAAAACGCCATTGAAACTCGATCAAGGTGACATGAAATAAGTGAGATGCAGAAAGATGTAAGTCTTCAGACTCTCCTGAGACACCTGCAGTGCGGTTTTTCATGTCACACCATGTTCTGAACAAACTTCAGAGGACACCATAGAACAGCGGTTTCCAACCAGGGGCTCGGGACTCCCATAAGGGGTTGCGAGATACAGCTGAGTTACCGCAAGATGATTATCAGGACAAGCACCAGAAAAAAACACTTTTCTGGTGCACAAATTTTCTTTCCATCTTTCTGCTAATCTTTGCCTTTTTCTAGTGAATAATTTTTTTTACCTCATCATGCCTCTAAACTGAAATGAAGAAGAAAAAAATCACCCTTAAATGGTCACAACTAGTGCACACGTGCAGGTGGTAACGATGGGTCAGAAGTATACAGTGCTTTGTTTTAAGAGGTCACAAGCAAAAAAGTTTGGGAACAACTGTCTTAGAACAGGCAAGGCCTTACAGGTCGTAATATAAGCTCGGCAAAACATTGAAATCCCCAATTTAAACTTTATTAGATGGACCAAAGAAAATGAACTGGAGGTGTAATCTCAGCCTCAGTGAAATCTGTGAAGGAGCATTTTGCCTGAATCCCAGAAACACACAGAGACACCCCTGATGTGGGTACAGTAAAGCCCCACAAAGTAGTCAGTGCGTGCACTCTGACAATAGTGTTTGGCCCTGTCCGCGAGGCCGGACCCCCGAGCCTAAGCGCTTTTATGTGAAAAGGTTTGGTGTGTCGTAAGCCCTAACGCTGACCAGCCTCTTCTGCAGCTTTGCTGAGCCATGGGGCTCCCGGCTGCCCTGGGAGTGCTGACTCCAGCCCTGGGAACATGTTTACCGCTGCCCCGCACCCAGCCCTGTGATATCAGGAGAGGGTCTGCTGGGGGGGGTGGGGGCAGGAGGGTGTGTATGTGTGTGTGTGTATGTGTGTATGTGTGTGTGTATGTGTGTGTGTATGGGTGGGTGGGTGGGGTGGATCCACACAATGAACCTGCTGAATACTGTGCTATCTAGTTATTGGTGCTGAGGACTTGCAGTCAGTTGCCAAACTGGCTGGGTAGGCTCTTGATCAGAGTTCACAGGGGCAGACTTGCCTTTTCTTGGCTTCCTCTCCAACTCGTTATTTCCAAATTTAACTTGTTTGTCTGGTTTTTATTGGGTATCCCCTCACAGTTCACCCATACACTTACGAAATCAGAGTTGTTGCAGTAAGGATGAACTGAACCAAGTGTCGTATCTTACAAACACTCAGAACTATTGTGTAGTTTTCTCCCCATAAAATTAGTCTTTGTGGAATCTTTGCTTGTTATTTTGAAATCTCACACAGAAACATGATGCACAGATGTGCATGTGTGTGTCTGTGCAAACACAGGCCAATCTGTGGATGCTTTAGTAATGTGGTCTCTGTCAATCCACAGAGGAAACAACACTTGACTTGCGTGGTCTTTTACATGACAATATAACTTCTTTGTTTGTTGTTTGCCGGGGATTTCAAAGACAAGTGTACCATTTCTGGCACAAAGAATAACTTCGTCAGCTTGCCTGAATGAAGTAAGATGGATTTTATACTGTAATATAGAATTTGCAGCACACAGTTTTGTTCTTAATAAATCTCATCAGATATAATTCTGAGTAATTATTGACTTTGTAACCACAGTGGTGTGATAAACCAGTTATACACTGTTCTAGTGAACGTGTTATTGTCAAGCTGGGATAAACAAAGCCATAAGAGCTGCCTTCCTTATCTCTGCTTCCTCTTGCCTTTTAAAGGACTCCTTCAGCCCGGGCTGATTGGTGGAGGAATGGCATTATCTGTGGTCTGATAGGCTGCAGTGCAAAACCACTAACTGAAGGGCTGTTGTTGTTGCAGCAGGTCCTGCAGCTATCCATCTCGCTGTGTGCTGATGATGCTGATCTTTGCACAGCAGTCCTGTACCTTCTTCTGCTGCTTACCAAGGAGAGCTGGGGCTCAGTTTGGGGGGGGGGGGACTTGCTGCTGCATGCTCTAAGCTGACTTTGAGTTGTTGTTTTCGCTGAATGCGCCGATGAACGCACAGATAGCACACAAACACGCCTGCCACTTCCAGCTACATTTGGCAATGTTACAGAGAACTATTTCTAGTATCATTGCATGGTGGTTTCTCCATGCTCTGATAATTGATTTCATTATTGATTTGAGTGATTGGATAGGAAAATCAAGCAGCAGTCACCTTGACTTGATTGCTGCCATTATTTAGCATACAGAGTGCAATTCATAACAGTGAACTCTATATCATGATCAATGGCAGCAGGGAACAATAGAAGGAGAGAGAAGTGATGATGTTTCTTGGAGGGGGGGGGGGGGTTGTTCTCTTTGCTCACGTTTAGGACCCCCCTCTATCCTCGCACTTTGCTCCGCCCCCCACGTGCTTTTCCCGCTGCCATTGGATGCCCAGAGGCTGTTTTCGCCACCCGATTGGCCGCTGAGCACGTCAATCACACGAGCCTCGACTTATTTACCGAATGTATGAGAGAAGGAGGACGGTATTCTGCTGTAGGGCTGCAACAGCTGACTGCCGAGCACTTTACCCAGTGCCTCAAGGAACAAAGAGAGGAGGACACAGCCATCCAGGAGACGTTTTTTAATAAGAATTAGACGCATAAAAGCGAGGGCACGAGATGAGGCACGCGGTCGGACCGTCAGAAAACGTGGAAAATAATTCTTTTGCGGTGACAGGCTTGTTAAAGATATGTACCCATTGTGAACGGCTCAGCAAAAAGGTAAGAGAAAGAAAGGGCTTCGGGAACAAATAACACTCATAAAATGCACCGTTTTTAAAGCTTCAATCTGCTGTCGGGGCTTAATTAGAAAATTGTGTCATATTATTGATGTTTTTGTGCGACATGTTTTTTTTCTTGCCTTTGAACAAACAAGCTGCAGTGCAGTCTTTTGTCCTGGCTTGTTTACGAGTCAGAGGAGTTTGTGGTCATCAGGCATGAAACCTTTTCTACGTTTCATTTCTTGACATGGTTTCAGTTCAAAAGAAGTAGACTTGTAAGTGACACATTTAAAGGGATGTTTTCTGCTCAGTGTCATTTCTGAATAATACACATTTCATGGTCATTCATTCATCTACTTCATCTGCTTCATTGTGCGCTGCGGGACAGTGTCCGCTAGTAGACATGTCTCGACAAGCAGCGGAAAGTTACAGGACATTAACAGAGACGATGCAAAGGTTTCTGTTGTGCTTTAATTTTCTATGAGGGGCAAGCAGTCACTTAGCTTGTTTGGAGATCTCATTAATTAAAAAACATCCCAGTTTAATCCGGCTTTTTATACGTCAGTGTATTTGTGACACAAGAGTTGCATGATGCTTCTGCACCGGATAAAACCTGTAATCGCATTTTCTAATAGTAAATTTCTGTGTAATCTAATATTCGTGAGTTTTTCTGGTGTCAGACAAACAAAGCGACTCTGGTGAGGCAGTGAAGTCACAGTAGCGGGACTACAGTAGAAATGAGCTGTGATGATCGCAGTCAGACGGAGCTAGAAGCTTCTCTGCTTTCCTCTGATATTTAAAGTACGTTTGTCTCTTTTTTATTTGTCTTGCAGGACTTGGGAGTAAGGATCCCAAGACCCTTAGGTAACGGACCAAGCAGATTTATCCCTGAAAAAGAGGTATGGGGCAGCCTGTGATCCTGTTAGACATTAAAAACAATTAGCCTTGTTACAGATATTAGATTTATTTTTTGAGTTAATATATTTGTAATTTGTTGCTTTTGTCAGATTCTTCAAGTCAGTAAAGTGGACGCCAGGACACAGTCGATATTTGAGGATGCGTTTGCAGCCCTCGGTCGTCTGGACAACATTTCACTGGTGATGGGCTTCCACCCACAGTACCTGGAAAGTTTTCTCCGGACGCAGCACTACCTGCTGCAGATGGATGGACCCCTATCTTTGCACTACCGACACTACATCGGCATCATGGTATGGCCACATCCAATCTCCTGTGAATTCTCAAATGAACTGTGGGTCCAGTTTTATGTGAAGTGGTGGTTAACCCTCTCTCTTCCTCTGATCCTGCAGGCGGCAGCTAGACACCAGTGTTCCTACTTGGTCAACCTGCATGTGAACGATTTCCTCCAGGTCGGGGGAGATCTGAAGTGGCTAAATGGCCTGGATGAAGCACCACAGAAACTGCAGCAGCTCGGAGAGCTCAACAAAATCCTGGCCCACCGACCTTGGCTTCTCACTAAGGAACACATCGAGGTGAGAGGAGGGGCACGGTTTTGAGGGTGAATGTGGACACAAAGTCTTATGTAACAGTCTGAGATCATGGGTGGAGGCTACGGTATAGCTACAGCTGTATAACTCGGACCGGGAAAGGGGGGGGGGGACTAGAAGGCGATAGGGGTTGAGGCAGGAAGACGAAGAGTCAATAAAGGGGATTAGAAGGGTGAAAACATATTTTCCCACTTCCTAAAAGGTCAGTGATATTGAAGTCATTATTTGGCTCCAGTTAGCATCACTCACAAGTTTTTCCTTTATTTTTTCCAGCGCCTCCTGAAGGCTGAGGAACACAGCTGGTCCCTCGCGGAGCTAATCCACGCCGTGGTCCTCCTCACACACTACCACTCCCTCGCCTCGTTCACATTCGGCTGCGGCATCACGCCAGAGATTCACTGCGATGGTGGACACACTTTCAGACCCCCCTCCCTCAGCCAGTACTGCGTGTGTGACATTGCCAACGGCAACGGTCACGCTAATCACCATGACGATCCACTTGGCAACCAGGTGAGTGGTAATGGGACAGAGAGAGAGAGTGTGTTTGTATCTGTGTGAGTGTGTGTGTGTGTGTGTGTGTGTGTGTGTGTGTGTGTGTGTGCGCGCAGTGAGCTAGAGAGATAAAAGTTGGAGCATGTGAAGGTTTTCTCACTCGTGTGAAACTTGAATCCAGGCTGCGGGTATGATCCATGCACTTAACATCCTGTGTGTGTGTGTTTTGAGACGCTAAGAAGTTGTATGACTCTCGTTCTTAACCACGGATGTTGATCTTTGTTTCTAAGGAGATGTGTGGCGAGGTGGAGGTGCTGATGGAGCGCATGAAGCAGCTGCAGGAGTGCCGCGATGACGAGGAGGCCAGCCAAGAAGAGATGGCAACCCGCTTCGAAAGGGAGAAGACTGAGAGCATGCTGGTGGTCACAGCAGAGGACGAGGAGTGTGTCCCCTCAAGAGACATCTCCCGACACTTTGAGGACCCCAGCTATGGCTACAAGGACTTCTCCAGGAGGGGGGAGCACGTGCCCACGTTCAGAGTGCAGGTATAGATTAAATACAGCCTGAATATAGAGTACTGTATGCAAAAGAAAAAAAGAAAGATCTGTTGTTAACTTGCTTTTTCTCCTCTCTGCAGGATTACAGCTGGGAGGATCACGGCTTCTCTCTGGTCAATCGACTGTATCCTGATGTTGGTCAGATGCTGGACGAGAAGTTCCAGATGGCCTACAACCTGACCTACAACACCATGGCAACACACAAGGATGTGGACACCAGTATGCTGCGTAGGGCCATCTGGAACTACATCCACTGCATGTTTGGCATCAGGTCAGTGGCTGGATACTCAGTTTTTTCTAGTAGCGTTTTATTCTTACAGTGTGTGCTATTTTGCTTAATCAGCACTGTTGCAACTGTGTTTTAACATTCTGTTTTTCTGTGATCCGTAGGTATGATGACTATGATTACGGGGAGATAAACCAGCTTCTGGACCGAAGCTTTAAGATCTATATTAAGACCATGGTGTGTAGTCCTGAGAAGACCACCAAACGAATGTATGAGAGTTTCTGGAGGCAGTTTCAGCACTCCGAGAAGGTGAGATGAGATTCTGATTCCTCTATCCTGGTTTCTTAGTTGCAGCTATTTCAAATTGGTTGACTATGGCACAGTGTTTAAAGACTTTCTCTTTACTTTTTTTGTTGTCTCCTGCAGGTCCACGTTAATCTGCTTCTTATGGAAGCGCGAATGCAAGCAGAACTGTTATACGCTCTGAGAGCGATCACCCGCTACATGACATGAAGTGCTTTTGGTGTTTTTATCGTTGTGTTTTTACTGTCATTGTTGTTGCTCATTATGGGACACTTCAAGGAAAAAAAAAAAGAAAATCAAAGGGGTGGGGGGGGGATTCAACAAAAGAGATGAGTGGAAGAGAGTCCTGGGTTGTGACGGTGCTTGTTGGATGGATGTGGAGAAGAGGATCAGAACAAATGGAAAGCAAGGAAAAAAAAAAAAGAGAACTGTGGAAGAAAAGTCATCTCAAACTACAAGTGGATACACAAACTCAGTTCGTGTTGCCTGCAGTGCCAAAAGTGACCAAGAGAGGGCTGCCTGGAGCAAACTCCTGCTCAGCTGGGGAGTTTGTGCCAGGCCAGAGCACTGACACCGGAGGCATCCAGGACGATGTTTCAGTATTCCAGCATGCAACACGTTGGTTGCCAATCTCTTCTGTCTCCCGGTAGAGTGAAGACCCACAGCAAGTCCCCAGAAAGCTGTGCAGCCACAAAGAGTCTGCACTTTGAATCTGTTGTCACTGTCATATTTGTTTAGTTTCTTGAATTATCTTTTTATTTCATTTTGTATTAAGAGAAGTGGATGTTGTCGATGTGGTTGCTGTTAGTGGAGATGGAAGCATTAACTATCGGCGGTGTTTTTTACGTGTGCCTGAACTATCCAGCACAGTGTGCATACGTGCTGATGCTGCTGCTCCCATGTTGTATTCAGCGGGGTCATATTGATCCCCAAATCACCCCCTCACCCTACACCATAATACCCCCTAAGCCCCTATCCATTAGAAATCCACTGCATTACGCCCCCCCCCCCCCCCTTCCTCGTCCTCTACCCCCATCCCAAATCTCAAATGTCAATGTAAGCTAATCCAAGGAGTGTGTGAAAACCAGAGAGGTGTGGAAAGAAACTCAAAGAACACTGTCTGAGCCCTTTTTGAGTTTGACTGTACACGTGTGGATGAGGTCTGTGTTCGTGATGACTGAGGTGTGGATGTCTGTGTGTGTTTCACACAAATGACAGAGAAAAAAAAAGTACGTCTTTGAATTTCATGTGTCAAAAAAAGAAAAAAAAAAAAGAAAGATAAGCGAGGCACTTTGAAGGAAAGACTTCTTGCTTCTGCTGTAGCTCTGTTATTGTGAGATACTTGTTTATCATTTGTTGATGATGATGTCTTTATTTTTCTGGTATTGGGGAAAAAAAAAGAAAAAAAAGCTAATCAAAAAGAATGTTAGAAACCAGGTTTTCCAGGAGGGATTTGCTTCCGGTTGCCCTAACCACACCTTATCTGTCTTCCGCTTATCCCTGCTGCCTGGTCGCCCTAACACTTTCGAAGCTTTGGATTGTGAATTTTACCAGTAAATGAATACCTCTTCTGTTTTTCTCTATAAAACATATAAGAAGTGCTCTTTGGTGAGCAGAGACTCTTTCCGGGCTGCCGTGTTCCCATTGCTCGGGGACCCGGCTCGCCCACACAGGGCCGACTGCGGTCGATAGCTGTCGGACGCAAAAGGTTGTAGCTGTGCTTATTTCCCTGCTAGGGAAGTCTAACCAGTGCAAAAGCAGCTTTTTTTAAATTTTATTTTGAACAGAGGTGTGAAACCTCTGCTGTTTTTGTTTTTTGTTTACTAAAACCAGTAAAGTACTGCATTCTCCTGAGGTTGGATTGAGAGAATCAGACAGATGAATGAGTGATATCTGGAGAAGGAGGATAAGGAGGAGGGTGATGATGATCAAGGAATGGTACATTTGGAAGTGGTTTGAGAGGAAGTGGAGGTTTTTTCAGACTTCTGACTGATGTCAGTTACTGACACTTTTTATATGAAATTATATGAAAAAGACGAAAAAAAATAAACTATGATATTGAAATGTTGTGTATCATTCGTAGTTTTCTCCTAAACAATTTGATTTCATTGCTTCATCAAAGAGATTGTATTAGATGTGGAGAGGCCTACACAATTCAGGAATCAAACAGTCATAGCACAATCACTGTCACCATCAGCTCACTTCCACTGCTCAGTTGCAGGAATGCAGGAAGTTAAACAACCCATGGTAATTAGAAAGCATAATTGCTTTTATGCAAAAGATGACTCATGAAAAGACATGGAGTTTTATTCTCACACCTTTTGTTCCAAAGTACACTTTGATAGCAAAGCTGACTTCATTATCAGTAAGCTGAACTCAGGGGGATAGTTCAGTTTGTCACCAGTGCAGTCCAGGGACTTTCATGTGAATTTCATTTTACTGTATAAGCTTGACAGGTCAGTTTCTCTTTGCTGCTGACCAACACTTAGCTCAAGATAAGGGGGAATTCCATGTTGGACACCTTTAGCTGTGTTTCCTGATTACATCCATGTCACACCTCACGGGAAAAAATCCTTGACTTCGTTGTGAGGTAATCTGTCTGAACTTCAGGGTTTTTCCCATCGAGGCCAGAGAAGCCTGTCTGTCAAAACACAATCACCAGCAGAAACTCACTGTTATCCCCCGCTGACCAAACTGCCTTCACATTTTGGTGGCTTTCCCAGATAATATGGCATAGGAAGCATTTTCTTTGAGTAACTTTGATATCAGCCAGCCAACTGTCTTTCATATCAACCTGAGAAATTCTGTGTAGAGAACAATGTTTGTTACTAGCTCTGGCTAATGAGTTGTTTAGGGGTTTTTGAAACATCAGCTTGTCTTGTGGTTGTTTAAAGGTCACTATTGTGTGAGATCTGGGGGAACTGACACCGGGGGTTTTTGAATTAAGTGCCGTTTCTGATTTGTTTCGATGTGATAACGATGTGATTTTGAAATGCTGTACTTTAGGCAACTTGGTGTAACTTGTAAGCACTGCCTGGCCCCATATCTGTGTAATAATAAAGGCTTTGAGAAGCAAAATGTTTCCTGCTTTCTTCTGCTTTATTACGAACAAGTTCCAAAGTCACACAATACACCGACAATAAAGGATTTGCTCATGAGGTAAATTCAAGGTTAGTCATCTGTTTTCAACACTACATTATCATAAAACTATCTTAACAACACAAAGCAGATCAAATCTGTTATATAAATGTGCAAAGAACTTGTATTAAATTATCCCTGTACATGTGAAGATACCCTAAATGAAAGTTAAAGTGCATAAGAGGTTATAAATGTTAACAAAATTAAAAAAAAAAGGCTGCTGGTATTGTTAAGAAAAGGATGCTATGAAAATAAATAAAAAAACATATACGGATGGAAGTGCAAGTGTTTTTTCTGTAGACAAGAATTGAGAAAAGAATCTAGTAATTTTATATATATACAGTATATATATACGGTATGTCCACACATTTTTTTTTTACCATTCCATCCCGATTCAGCCTGCCTCTTATATTTTGCATAATTACCATTATCAGCCAATAAAGCTTTTCAATCAAAAATCTATTGCTTTGAGTATGAAACACTGACCATCTATAGGCTTTAAAACTGGCTGTAAAAAGCTGGTAGCTTCAGCGTTCATGAAAAAACAGCATCAATAGTCGGCTTGAATTATGAGTATTTAGCCATAACTTCAAAAAATGACAAGCACTGGGAACATACTTGAGCATGTGGTTGGACAGTGGAGACGTAAACTATTCTGCAGCAGCAGTCTGAGATGTTTTAAATGTGTTTTGACACTTTTTCTGCAGTGAAAACTCTTTGTTCAAGCTGATCATCTCTGCTTTCTCTATGGCGATGGCTATTGACCTTTACAGACACATTTCAAACCTACAAGAGATGAGTGTTTTATACTAATAAGATGAAGCAAATACTTCATCCTATCCGTTTTGACGGAGGATAAAGGATTTACTTATGGCAACATGACTCCTAACTTCATGTAACAGTGTGTCAGGCTGTCAGGTCCAGAGGCTGGAGGATTTTCATCAGTTTTTGAGCTACAGGTAGGAATTCCAACTCCCAGCATGCTCTGTGAAAATCCCTCATGTCTTCATTTTCTATCCACTTCAGGGCCTCCTCTTCATCTATGGAATAGATTAAAAACAGTGGACAGAGGATGAGAGGGGGCAGTGTGAGGTTTCAGGTTCCTTTTCAGTGCTTTACATTGACATGTTTTATGTTCAGGCAGCTCCCAGATGTGACCATCGAGGTTTTAGTTCGTGTTAGTGTGACTATCTCTGTTCCTCCCTTCCGCCTGAGGGCCACTGATGTGAGTAAGAACATGTTCTCTCCAGCATGGCTCCCTCCCTTGTTATGTAAGGATTAGTAATAACACCAACCTAAGTATGTAGTGAGGATCTCCAGCAGGGACTCTCTCTCCTTTGTATCCAGCAGCTTCTCTGAACCACCACCGATCAGGTTCCACAGCGCCTGACAAATCTGTCCTGCCAGCTGCCAATCACCTGGTCCGAAGTCTCTCAGGCTGTCCACGAGACTGTTCACACAACACACACACACACACACACGGACACACATCATATGACTCAAGGGAGCGGGATTCACATGACCGGCAGGTTTGTGGGCATTAGCTCCACTTCATTGAATGTACAGTACATCTGAAAGAGGACTGTGCGCGTGCGTGTGTGTGTGTGTGTGTGTGTGCGTGCGCGCGTGTGTGTGTGTTTGTGTGTATGTGTGTGTGTGCACGCCTGTGTGTGTGTGTTTGTGTGTGTGTGTGTGTGTGTGTATGTGTTTGTAAAGGGGAAATGAGAACCTAATTGTTTAAGCAAAGCTCCCTTTTGGAGTGATAAGTGATAAGCCTGCACTATAGTAAGAAGATTTCACAGAATCTGTCCCTCTTTCAGCTCTCATGAGTTAAAAATGTACAAATTAATCTAAATTGACAAATCAGTAATAATAACATTGTATAACCACTGTGAACAAATAACATCAAGGCTCAGATGATTAGTAGCATCTTGTTAATACCAGTAGAGTGGTTGGTGCTCATTGCTCATGTCTGTGAAAATGCTCTTAAAGGAACAGCTTGGCATTTTGGGAAATACACTCAAATCTTTGTGTTGGTCATGGTCATGACATGTACTGCAACCTTATTGGCAGTCACCTTCATTTTCATTCACTGATATAGAATCCCTCTCCTTCTTTTTCTCAAAGAAGGACTGCATTTATATAGTGCTTTTCTAGTCTCAGTGACCACTGAAAGTGCTTTACACTACTAGTCACATTCACCCATTCACACACACATTAATGCAGCGCTTGCTATATACACATCACATCTCTATCACACACACATTCATAAACCGATGGTACATTGGGAGGAATTTGGAGTTCAGTATCTGCCCAAGGACACACCGGGCTGGACTGGAGGAGCCGGGGATTGAACCACCGACCTCCTGATTAGAGGACGACCCACTCTACCCCCTGAGCCAGCCCTGACAGCCGCTCTGATTTTTATGCAGTTATCAGTTATTTATTAAATTTAAAATTCTGTTAGCCACCAAGATGTTCTTAACTATATTGAACTTTTTAATTCATCATCATATTTTAATCTCAAGAGAACTGATCCAGGTACAGAAGATCTGCTTCTTCAGAACCTTGAGTAAATTTAGTGGAAAGTCTGTAAATTGTCTGTGAATTGTCAAATACAATTAAAATCTCCACACAAACTCTCCCCTACATGAACAAACCCTTAATCCCTAAGTGTCCTTACTTGGCAGCAGCCCCCTCTAGTGAGAGACTGACCCGGTTGGGAGGGTCCAGAGCCAGGTTGGTGAGGACCCCGCAGGCTGAAAAACACATCTCAGTGCTTTTTGAGTCGAGCAGCGTCACCACAAACTGGTGCACTGAGGGAGAGAAAGTGGAGAAAGATGACAGAGTGATTGAGCGGACAAAGGACAAAGCAGGGCAAAGATAAAGAGGGCCGCTATCACCAGCGTCAGCGGGTATGTTTATACTGACTGTTGCTGGCCTTGCAGATAAGTCCAGCCCAAACATGACACAACAGTACAGTGTACCGGTATTCTGTGACTATGCACTCAGCTTCCTGTAAAGTTCTGTGCTTGGAGGATACAATTTATAAATCTTGACAGGTGCATTCTTCAATTTATTTATGTTCATCAATATCAGGCTTTGATTAGATGGGACGTTTTGATTCTAACATGCCAACTTTTCCTGCAAGAGTAAAATAATATGGCTTACAATACTATGACATAGTCCCATGCTGGAGTCTTCTGTGTGTGTCTGTTTGTTTGTGTCCACCATTTACCTTTGTTTTGCATAATAAAGTCCCGCACATCATTGGACTGTGACAAGTTTCCATACACACGGGTGGCTTCAAGCATGGCGTCCATACTGGAGCTGAGCACCAACTTCAGCATTACTGATGTAAAAAGACAGGGTGAGCAGACAAAACAGAGGAATGGGGGAGTGAAAGGGGGAGGATAATTGAAAAAAAAAAGTGGGACAAAATTAAGAGTTAAATTGGCAAATGGAAGCATACTTTCATTGTTTTTATTTTTCCTTTCTACATTAAAATCTGCCACTCTTAGAGTCTTACACTTTGCAATGGCGAGTTGACTGTGTCTGATTGCAGAGCTTTCTTCCTGGTAGAAGGACAGGTTGTTGATGGTGGCAGCCACATTCACCAACAGCTCCTCGCTCTCCTGCACAGACCTCAAATCTGTGTTACCCACATACACACACAAAAGAACAAGATAGAAAATAATCATGAGTAAGAGAAACCTTTAATTAACTTGACTTGACTTTTGACTTTTTACAAAGATGTCAAAATGTTTGTCTTTTTTCCCTAAAAATCCTCCTGTATAAGGTGCAACCAACAGAGGGAGCATCCACACTGCACAGCCATGAGGAACAGGCCTTAATGCTCCTGAAATATTACTGCTCACTATTCATTCATGTGAAGTGACACTCATTCTGGTGACGAGAAGAGTCAGAGCTCAGAATAAACTGCTCTCTCCCTGATAATGACTACCCAGATGAATCCAGATGAAGGCATCACTTCCTTTTATGTTGATGAAGGGGAGAAGATAACATAAGGGTAAATGATAAATCTTTGAACCATGTATGGTGTAAAGTTTTTCATATTTTCAAGAATAATGCAGGAATAAATAGATATACATGGTAATTTACAGATAGAACAATTATAGAGTATTTTAAATGAGATAAATACATGTAGAAACGCAGTGAGCCCCCTGGGTTTTCAGCCTTTTTGCATATTACAGCTCCACACTGATGTAACAGTGTGACATTATCATAAAAGCAGCTGTTATCTGTGGTTAATTTTGGCCTGATATAGTCAGTTTGATCATGAGCTGCATACAAAGGTCAATGTGACCCAATCCAAGCAGGCATGACAGTGTGAGAGGCTTGGAAACCAAGTCTGTTCCTGATATAGCAGCAGATGTCGTGTACTCGGTCATAAATCGCGGGTATTGCGGTTGCACTGTCAACCGGCGCCTGTGTCACACAGAATTTTGTTTCTGGATCTGACTGGATATGCCGCTTTGTTGTGCCCCCCCCCGCCCTCTCCCTCCTCTTCAAAGCTCTGTAATGTAAAGCAGCGCAGCCCGTAATGAACTTGATCAAAACAGTTCATCGATCAGCCAAGCCTGCTCTTTCATTCTCTATTGAGATTTTGTTTTCTGTCTCCAGCTGTCACACCAGCTCCATATTCCGCCTTCAATTGCTCATTTTATGTTTCTGTCTTCAGTTACTTAATTTACTTCCTATCTTACTCACTGGCCACAGTCACACACCCCTCTATCCTTTAAAGTTTGCCTATTTTTTTTTACACTAGTTTGACCTCTGTTTTGTTTATTTAATTCTCTTTCCTAACTGCCATGAAGCATGTGTAGAAGGTACGCTGCAGAGAAATTGAGAGTTTCACACCCACCTGTGTATCAGTTCAACCTGTCCTGAAACCATCTAACCACATGGGAGAATTTCACACACACAAACCAAGTCGGCTGTGAGATGTGACAGAACATCCTGCTCATGCAGTGAGGTGCTTCGCTCTGTCAGACTCAAAAAAAAAAAAAAAAAAAAAAGAAAAAAAAAGCCAAACCAAACCAAAAGAGGATGTGCTGTGTATTGAACAGAAAGCACTGAGAGGAAAGCAAGCGATGGAATGAACAGACAAATGAGGAGTCTGTTTTCGACCAAAGTCATGTCTTGTTCCCAGCACAAGGGAAGTGGTTGGGTACCTAAGCAGATACTTCAGTTACTTACAATGCAATAAACATCTATTTTTAAACTTATCAGAACTCCAGGTTGTCACGCACTGCTTCCTTTGTATGACAGAGATACAATATGAGTATTACAGCTCTAAATCTGCTATTGATTGTACTTTTTGCCATTTAATAAATTATATAGATAAAAAGTGAATGACTTAAGGAGAGTGTTGATGAGTTCTTCCTGCTCTCTGCTCACCGAGTGTCTCCATCAGAAGCTGAATGCAGGCTGTGTTGGTTGCCAGCGCCGGACCTACAGCTGGATGGATGCACATGTTCGCCAGCACCCTGACCAGCTTCACCAGCACGTCATCGTCCTCCTGCACGCTCGTGGGTGGAGCGGAAGGTTTGCTGAGGGAAGAGGCACCTGTCTGTGAGGGCGTGTGTGGAGACGCATCTCTTCTCTGGTAGCTGTCGTACACTTGGAGGAGTGTGTCCATGCAGCCCTGGCACTGGAAGAGCTGCAGCCTAGCCTCGTCGCTTTTGGCTGTGAGGTTCCCGAGGGTGAAAAGAAGGCGCACAACAAGGTCCTGTGGGAGAACAGTGGGAGAAATTTGTTTATATGTTTCGTACTATCGCATATTTGGTTGAAAGGCCAAACTGCCAAAGTTACTTTCAAAGTTTCAAACAGTGTTCACTTAACGTTTCCTCTTACAGCATTTTAGTCAGTGTAAGATGTAGTATGTAGACAGTGTATGACATATATTATGAGCTTTCTTTGTACTTAGTGGTTTCATATTTATCAGCTTAATGTATAATAGTACTTTAGGGCAGCAACTAACAATTGATTTCATTACAAATGAATCTGTAAGTAACTTTCTTTATTAGTTAAGTATTTGTTTTGTCTGTAAAATGTCAGAAAGAGTCAACATTGCCCAGTATACTTTCTCAGAGCCCAAGTTGACATCTTCATCTATTAAATGTTGTTGGATCAATCAGTCCAAAATCTAAAGATATTTAACTTACAATCACATGAAACAGAGAAAATCCTCTGTGGTGGAATCGGGAAATTTTTGGGATTCGAACCGAGGCAATTAGTCACTAATAAATATAGTTCCAATAACAATTTTCTGTTGATCGACTTTAAGCTTCAGCAGTAGAGGTTGATTGTTTTTAACTAGGAAATGAAAAGCAGACAACATTAAATCCTATGAGACTGTGTTTACAATTTGAAGATCAGCAACAACTTCACCTGCAGCACAGTGAGCCTGCCCTGTCAAGTAGCACTATTGTCAGTGTCAGTCATTTTCCCTAGAGGGTTTGGAGCAGTGTAAACATGTTTGAGTGTAACTACACCCAAAGTTTTCAATGAGTTATTGCACATTTACTGAGAAAAAAGGGTGACAAACAACACCCTGTTTTTTCACATTTGTATCCTGACTCTCAAGTAAATAAGGTGAAGCACACGTGAGCCAGGAACATACTCAATTCTCCCATAAATGCGCACTGACATTGATATGAGGACAGGACTCGCTGCTCATCACCTCTTACTGTCAAGTGTGTGTGTGTGTGTGTGTGTGTGTGTGTGTGTGTGTGTGTATTTGAAGGCGTTGGTATGTGTTTATTCCCAGTTAGATTAAAAACATATGTCAGTCAAGTCTCCTCCCCTCCACCTCTGCATCACCTCTACTCTACTCAAGCTCACCTCCTTTACTGTTTTTTTCCTTTTCTCCTCCCTTCCTCCCTCCCTTTCCTCTACTTACTCAGCCCCTCCTGGGATGATAAAATGTCAAAACACACACACACACACACACACACACACACACACACACACACCCACACACACACACACACACGCACACATGCACCCCCACACACGCATAGCAGAGCAGAGACTGAAACAGGAACACCACGTGCAGATGGACACAATGTCCCGTAAATGTGCTTGGACTTGTACATAAACAGCTTGCTCTGAAGGTAAACATGCTTAGTGGAGCTACATCATGAACACCGGAAAAACTTGTCTTCTCTAAGACATACACACTAAAGCACACACACATACAAATGCAGGGGAGGCTAGCGGACTCACCTGTTTTTGGTGATGTTTGGTCAGCAGTTCTAAAAATAGTTGGTAGCAGTCGGGGGTCTGGGCCAGGGCGAGGCGGCACTCCGAGTAAGAGGAGAGTTTACTGAGAGAGAGGGGACAACAAATACCGCCAACCATTAAACTCTCTGACTGCTCCGCTGTGCCGACTACATATGGAGATATTAAATCAACACTGATAATGGATAAGTAGGCCTGGGCTGGAATCTCATTTTTATGTTTTCACTATCTTGTGCAAAATTATTCAGACAGTATTTATTTTAACAGTACTAAAACAAATCTAAAATTGCGTTGCCTTATAATTTGCATCAGAAAAACAGTTCCTTTGCACACTAAAGTACTAAATGTTCTATTTTGTGCTTCATACACTGATAATGTACTTGTGCCAGAGATGGAGGCTGGAGTCCTGGAGAGAGGATTTGAAGATGAGCATAATTTGTGTCATTGTGCTCTGGTGCAGGCACTGAGACCAGAGGGGACTGGGACTTGAGTAACTTTGGTGCCAAAGCCCTGTGCCAGGTTTTACACTGGATAATTGTCCCATGTACCACTATGAAAGGTCAAGTGGACAGCTGGCACGTATTGCATAGCATTTATTCTGAAGTATCCTAAGTACAGTGGGAAGAAAAAGTATGTGAACACTTTGGAATGACCTGGTGTTCTGTTAATTGATCATGACATGAGATCTGATCTACAAGTCATAAGTATAGACAAACACAATGTGCTTAAGCTAATAACACACAAATGATTATAATCTTCTGTGTATTTATTGAACACACCCATTAATCATTCACAGTGCTGGTGGAAAAAGTAAGTGAGCCCTTGGATTAAATAACTGGATGAAATGTTCAGGAGGAATTTTGGACCATTCTTCCAACAGAACTGCTTCTGCTCAGCCATATTCTGAGGATGTCTGGTGTGAGCAGCTATCTTCAGGTCATTCCACAGCATCTCTATGGGGTTAAGGTCTGGGCTCTGACTGGGCCATGCCAAATTTTACTTTGATGTTTAGAGTAATTGTCCTGCTGCATCACCCAGCTTCTATTGAGCTTCAGCAGGCTGAGAGCCACCCTGACATTATCCTGTAACATACCTTATACACTTGGGAATTCACTTGCACATTCAGAACTCTACAGTTGAAAAGCTGAAAGTTGTAAGGAAAAGAGAGGGAGAGTGATTGCTGGAGAAAGAAGAAAAAGCAGAGAACAGAGGGTGAGAAGTGAATGATGGTCTGTTTTGATTCAGCTCATTACAGGTTGTGATGGTTTACATTAGTGAGCTGCAGAGAGAAGCAGGAAGAAGTAAGGGAGAAATTATCCCCAACAACAAAGACAATTTTGACTCCCAGCCACAATTGGGGTGAGACATTGAATCAAATTATTATAACCATATGGAAGTCTGTGTATGATACCTGTATATTCTGGAAATGTTGGTGCAGATGTCCTGGTCTTTGCGGTGATGATGCAGCACCAGACAAAGCTCTGACAATACAGAGAAGGAAACAAAGAGTGGACGGGAATCAGGGTGATCGGCAAGGTTCCTCAGGGTCGCTGTCAGCTACAGGGGTCAGAGGTCAGACGGAGAGAGACAAAAAGGGAGAGAGAGGGTTGAGAGTGCGGGTTAGCAAGTGGAAGTCTGCACACATAGTACCTTAAGGGTCTGTATTTAGGTCAGTATTGCGTGTCAGTGTTGTATCGTGGCTTGCACACAATGTCAGTCATATGCTCATTAAGGCTGGCTGCTGGCCTGTACAGGACAGCATATAGTAGAGCGACCGGAAACTATTCAGTATGGACATCAATCATTCTATCACCAGAGGGAAACAGAAATTTCCAAACACACGGCAGCACTGAAAGTCCTGCAAAGTCGTGGTCTGCTTATTTCCCTCCTCTAACAGCATAATGACTTGTGTTATATATATCAAATGAAGCGCTGGCTTACTTGTGTGGTTAACTGCAATCATGTTCAGAGGAATGAAGCAGGGTGTGTTTTGGACTGAAATGTCCAAGCCAGTACAGAACATCATGCTCTTGTAGCAGCTTATATACCAGACATAAACAAAAACATTTTTGTCTAACAGTGGGGAAATCTGCATCAGCCAACAAATACATAAAGAAGAACATTTAACATTTTGTTCCTTTCTTTTGACCTAGAATAACTGTGTTTCTTTAGTTGCTGTCCACCAAATATCAAATGATTCATAAGTCTTTCACACCTGTACAAGGATGTGCCCAGCTATAGCGAAGTGGGTCTCTTCTACTGTGTGGAGCCTCTGGAGGAGTTTCTGGGCCACACCAATACAGTTCTTTTCTAGCAGGAGTCTGAGGATTGCACTGTTCCCTGAGAGAAATTTCAGAGTGCCAACGCAGTACAAGAGAGCTTCTCCAGATGTAGACACATCCTCATAGCTCAGCACGCCCAGCAACGAGTCTAAACATACAGATAAAAAAAGAAACACTGGATGGAATATTTGCCATTTTCAATGATAGGGTTCAGGGGGTCACAAAAATGGCACCAGATCGATATAAAATTAACACATAAGGAATTACATTTAAAAACAGGATTTGGTACAGAATGGGAAACCACTGAACTAGATCATCCTGACCTATAATAGAGTTGTTCTGGAAGAGGAGGTCGTTGGTTTCACTGCGGCTGATCTGGAAGATGAGCTTACAGATGTTGAGGAGGTTGTTTCCACTGATACACAGCTGGAGAGAAAAATGCAAAAAAGAAAAACCTTCACATAACTTTTGTATAAAGCACTTAAGTGCCCTGGATGCCCTTTGTGATAGAGACTTAGTGGCAGACATGCTGAGACACACACACACACACACACACACACACACACACACACACACACACACACACACACAGATGACTCACAGCAAGGCAAAGCTTGGCGATGTGCAGGTTGAGCTGAGCAGAGTTGAGGTCGATGAGGCGGAAGAGTGTTCGAAGAATCCCTGACCTCCTCTTACAGCGTCGTCCGAGCATGGCTGCTTCTGCCAAGGTGCCATGGAGACGGTCACAGAAATCACACAGACGGTCCACCGAGCCCTCGGAGCTGCCTGGCATCGCAGGAAAGCACATATTACAAAAAAAGAGAGAAAAAAAAACAAGTCAAGTTCAGGGCAACTTGTCAAACATTCAGAAAGTAAACATCCCAAAATGAAATCACTCACTTGTGTGTGTTGGCAAGTGTGCATCCATATAAATACCCATGTGAGTAATAGTTTGTGTATGTTGTGATATGTATGTGTAATTCATTTGGGCTCTGCTGCATGGTATGCATTTATTATTTGCATGAAGAACTTGAGGTTAAATTCTCAACATCAACAATACATTGCAGAGCAGTAAAATAGCATTGCCCTTCCTTTTCTAAGAAGCAGCTTTGACTTTCAATAGTCAAATGCAGGGAAACAATTCTGCAACAGGCAGCTACAATCTTGACGCAGAGGAAGAGAGAGGGTGGAGTCTTTTCCTTGTTTTTGAGGTAAAATAAATGTTTTCCTTGCATAAATAACAGGGTTTGGCCATTTCTAAAAAAGGTCGGCCGCAGTCTCACACTCGACACTTCGCTGCAGTTTCCCACTGCAATCTGAAAGGTGTTTTATGCATGAGCCAGAAGGCACTTGGTGCAATAAATATTTAATATTTATCTTTCAAATGAATTTTCCATTAAATTTGTAGAGTGTTAAAATATTTACAGCCATAGATTTCACTTCATGGGTGCCAGACTGCAGTTTCAGGCTGAGACAATTCTGTATAGATGCCAAACATAACATTATCTGTTTTGTTTGCCTTTCTTCAATGGTTGAAATGATAGTGGCTTTTCATTTTGTGAGACCTTATGTATGACTATTTCTCAGCCTGCTGGTTGAAAAAGGAAATCTAATAAGGAAACACAGAAATGAGGGACTGATGTATGTCATGTGTTTGCACTTTGTTTTTGAGGTTCCTTATTGCACTGGCCACACAACCTGCAACCACAGTCTCCAGTTGTTGTAGAAGAGGACCAATCGTATTGTTCCACACCAGTGACTCTGCATCCTCCTCTGTGCTTGTGGTGTTCTTTCCATTCCCCAGCTCTGAAATGTGTGGAGAGAATTGCAGTTAGCCACCTCCAAATGCAGACGGTGAACAAGAGTGGCAAGCATGGTTCACAAGTTCACTGTCTTAAAATAAAACAGCAGGAAGTTTGATGCCACAATGAAAGGTCACCATCCACAGCTAAACTTCCTCTGATTTGTGTCTGTGCTGATGTGACATAGCCTGCATGTGGGCATGTGTGTGTGTGTGTGCATGTGTGATGAAAACACTTGTGTTTGTGCACGCAAATGTCTGCAGTCTCTCACACATCATGTACCTTTTTTCCTTTTTGCTAAACATTTGCATACCCCCCTTGCTTGTTGCTTGGTGTGATGCAGGAAACTGTGGTTGCCCAAACCAACAGCTCTCTCAGCTATTGGCTGGCTTCCTCTCGAGGTGGAAATGAAGCCCTTAGCAACAACACCCCAATCAAAGTTTGACAAAGTCTTGTTCATTTATAGAGAGAGAGATGTGTCTATGTTTTTGGTGAAATAACATTTCTAGCCCCAGGACTATATACTGTGGTATTATCTTTAGACATGCTTACATTGATTTGGTTTTTGATATCTTGGTAGAAATAAAATAAAATGATTGAGTGAATGAGTGGTATGTTACAGTAAAGTTGGTGAGTAAAGTTGCAACTACACTTTTATTTCTACTTGCTGTACAAAATGTACCATTTCTGTAAAAAAAAAAAAAAAAAACAGCCGCAAGGTAATTTAGTATATCTGGACAAACCTGTTCTCTGTCCTGTTGTGCAGTCTGTGGGTCTAACTCCTGAGTCAACAACAGGCTGCGTTATTCTACTGTTGGTACAAAGAAACAAAAACACAAAGAGTGTGGTTATATCAGATTCTGCGCATGAGATGTGACTACTATTTGTTTTTGTTAAATTTCATTGACTTTGGGAGTTTTGGTTAATTTGGACATAAAAGAGGTACACAAAATATTTAAAGCATTAATTCTCATGTCAAAGAATACATTTCCATGAAAAGTTGCTGACCTGATGCACCATGTTCATCAAGTGCCACTAGGTGTCCCTGTTGCAGCAGAGGTTGAGATGTGTGTGCAGGTGCTGTGTGTGTGTGTGTGTGTGTGTGCCTATGTATGCACATACTGTATGTACTTACACTTATGACAATAGATGTGTATATGTGTGTATATGTGTTTGTTTGTGTGTGACAGCTTGTACGTTTCTGTGTGTGTGTGAGTCCTTGTATCTGTGCTTGCGTGTGTGACACTGAGCATCTCAAACTGCAATCCCCAACAGACAGGAACTAAGGACTTAGCTTTGTGGGCAGTCTGGTTAAAGCTGTTCATGATTTGTCAATGTGAGCTGTCTCCACAGTCTTACTGTTGAAAAATGTGCCCAAAAAACATGCACTGTGTCATGCTGTGCTATGTGTTGTGGCTTGCCCTCTGCATATGACTGTTGAATCTTAATCCCTGCATGTCACTGTCAAATCCATATTTTTCCACTCACACACAAAGAGAATGACTCAGTGCCACAACAAATTCTATGACACGACAGGTAGTATGACATATGATGTATTACTACGTGAACAAGTGAAAAAACAATTATTAATAAATAGAGATAAACACAAGCAGCATGTTCAGTCATCCTAATCAGCTCTATCCATCCATCCATCCATTAGCTATATGGAGCTATATATTAGCTATATGGAGTCCCGGGGGGGCTGGAGCCAATCCCAGGTGACATTTGGGTGAGAGCGGGGTACAGCCTGGACAGGTCGCCAGTCCATCACAGTGCTGACATATAGAGACAAACAACCAGTCACGCTCACACCTTTAGAATTGCCAGTTAACTTAATCTGCATGTCTTCGGACTGTGGGAGGAAGCTGGAGTACCCAGAGGGAACCCACGCACACACATGGAGAACATGCAAACTCCACACAGAAAGGCCCCAACCCTGGGTTGAAACCCAGAACCTTGTCGCTGTGAGGCTGCAGTGCTAACAACTGCACCACTGTGCCACCCCTAATCAGCTCTATTACTGCAAAATTTGATTCACAAATCTCACAAAGTGAGAATAACCTTTGAAAAACATGTAAAACTGTAATCACTATTATGTTATCAGGACTGTCTGAAGCTTCCAGAGTGACATTAGTACAAAAGGCTTACTCTCAAGATGGAATATTTCTTTGAGCTTTTACACTCAAGTGAGCTTTATTTCATGGTCTTGTTGACAGGTATGAGAGAGAAGATGACCCCAGCTATTGTAAAAATGTTCCCCTTTCATTCCACTCAAGCATCACCTGAAGGTGTTGCTTGATGACATATACAGTATGTGGTCGTTACTTTAGAGTGCACTTTCACTTTGAAGGAGATTTAGTGATTGGTATAAGCTGGCACACAGGGCATATGCAGCAGGGAGTGCTGGCTGAGGCATGTTGCAGTGAATGTCAGAGAGGGGGCTTTGGCTCTGTATGATAGGATTAAGAGCCTGATAATAAGGCTTCTTTGTGTGATACTGCATTCTCTGAGACATGACCTCATCCCTGTCTTAGGCCTGGCCAGTGCACTGCAGTCACAACACACGCTGCTGCCAGCCTTGCCCAGATGGGTACCCAAATCTAATAGAGAGCCATTTGGAGCTATAAAGCTCCGGCTTATTGGAGAAAAAGAACCTAGTGGATGTCTAATCTCCCCTATCTTTATATTCCATCCAACTCATCATATTAATCTGTCATGCTGTGTCTATTTCCACTTGCAGTTAGTGTACTTCTGGTTTGACTATCGCTGCGATTTTCACTCTGTATGTCTCTGTCTAATGCACCTTTTATGTTGCTCATTGCAACACTAAAGAACAGTGCATCAAAAACTCTGACCTAACACTAATCAAGAAGTGGAAGTCTTTAGACTTACCCTCTTTCATCATAAATTGACCACAGTCTGATCTCTTGGGACCTCTTTGTCAGCAACAAGTTATACAAACATTGTGTGTTAACTTGGCTTGCGAGGGAGGAGGATATGCTGCGGGCGATAGCCCAGATTTCCTGTAAAAGTGTTTTATGGTCTGTCCCCCCTCTATAGCCCCGGCTGCCCCACCCAATCGATAGTCGGATGGATTGTAACGACAGCCCCCGACCTCATGCCCAGAGTTATGCCCCTCGTGCTGACACACAGCTGATGAGGTCGGCAGAAAAAAGCAGAGCTTTTAGCCTCTCTGCACTGTGAAGGTGTAAAAGCTGACACATGATAGTAATGACAGATAGAGGCAGTTTCATTGGGGATGAAGCTCACCAAGAAGCTGGATTTAACTGTGACCAAGATATAGTGTACAGTAAAGTATATGAGGGTTTGAAATGGGGTTGAGCGTCTCAAGTTGAAGAATTTGTCTGTTAGTTAGTGACACCATTGCTGGTCTAATTGACTTCATATATTCAGCTGTCATCACTGGTAACTGAATATATCTAAAAAGTTTTGGCTCTGGATCAAGTAAATTAGTGGTTTGAAAACTTTCTGCTTTGGAAGATACTGTAGTTGTAATTAAAAGAACAATCCAAGATTTTGACCGTACAGAATCCACTCCAGAAATGGGATATGAGCATTTTGTGTGTTGTCCAAGTAATCATGACTAAAGGTGTATGACTTTTTTTTTTTTTTACAAATATTACAGATGGAAACAACCCTTTAATAGCATTAGACAACACTAGTAACTTACACTAGATATGAGTTTGTCTAATGTCAGTCTTGGCACAATATATGACATGTCAATCAGTCTGAGAGTGATAGCAGTTTCCAGAATTGTGTTTTAATTTTTGATTTTTGTTGACATTTGGATCAGTGGCTGGGCATTTAAGTGAAAAACAAGACACTAACAATGATTTGGTTTAATTTTTCTCTTCTCTTCCCAGCAGCATATATAAGTTATGGACTAAAAGATTAACACAAAAAACCATTAGAAACTCCATGCAAAAAGAGAGAGGCAAGAAAGTGAGAAGGAGGTGGAGGAGGATTTGATGAAAGGGAAAAACGGGAGGCACAAACTCCGTCTAGTAATGGCTACCACTGCAACCTTTGTGTACAAATAAATCTTCAACTCATTGTCAGACTGTCACTTCAGTCAAAAAGAGGGAGCAGAAGAGGGTGGGAGAGCAGACGAAAGAGAGAAAGACAGATCTTGCAAATCAAACGGAAGAGCAGAAAGCGTACCTTTCACTTGTTGTTCTGTGTGGGCCAGGTCTGTGGGGACCACTGTGGACCTTGGTGTGGTCTGTATTGAGGAGTTGTTGAGTTGATGGCTGATTTTGATCCAGGCCTGGGTTTAATCTTTCTGTCACTAAACACGTAGAAAGGATGTGGCCAGAAGTTATTTACAGGTTGCTGCTGTGTGCTGCAGTCAAATTTATACTTCTTTCACGGAGCAAAAGTACAAGTGTCCATTCATTCGTACACAATCACACGCTGCACACATACAATATTTGTGTACAGGGAAAAGAATTCAGTCAAACTCCATTATCTATTTTATTGCTGTAAACGGTAGAGCAGTTTCACAGGAAAGGGTTTGAGAGAGAGAGGAGTCATTTTCCACTCAAAACAGCAGCAGTAAATTACGTTTTTCATCCAGCCCAACCACAGAGATTGTAAATCAGGTATAATGTCAGCATGTGAATGGCTCTATTCATTTCCATTTGAGAAAACTGCCTTAGCACAAGTGTCTGCACAGAAGATTTAGAGCGATGCATTGACTGAAATAAATGGCATGCTTTTTTTCTCTCACTTTTTTACCTGTTTAACAAATGCACCTTGTGTTATTAGCATTGCATTGTTCGCAATAATAAACACGGTTATCTAATAATAATCACTTTGCTTTGTGTCATACATTCAGTAACTATACACTTTTTAGTTTTTCATTCATACACCGTGTTTTCTCCATTGATCCAGACTTTCATCAATATTTTTTTTCTGACTTACCATCTGTGTATCCCTCTACAGGAGGCAATGTGGTGAGAGATCCAGCCCTGAGGAGCCGTGCCCTTGCCCCTGCCAGCCCCCTCTTCACTTCCAGTGGGTCAGCAGGGGGTTTGGGAAAGGCTTTGAATGCATCTTCAGCATCACATGGGACTGGAAACTTTGGCTTCTGGTGCAGCACAAACATATCAGCGGCATGATGGTGTGAACAATTAGCCAGAGCTTTGATCCACCAATGAAAATACTTGGATCCAGAAAGAGATCATATTGCTATTGTTACTCATTTATTGTTATCTTTTATTTCATATATTAACATTGTAATCCCATTTACTAAAACCAAGTTTTTATCTTGGTTATAAAAACACCAATGCTGATACTAAACTTGCATACAGAGGTGTACACACAGCTTCCATTTGCTGCTTTTTTCAGTGCATTTGAATTCAGTTTTCATGGTAACACTCAGAATATTATAATATTAACCTTAATATAAATTTTTGCTTAGACTATGACATATAGTGTGCGCCTATGTGTGAGGGAACTTACGTGGTTCAGTGGAGAGAGGCGAGTCCCTGAACCTGGCCTTGAATCAGGTGCATCAAAATTTTGAGCATGAAGACTGTAACATGAAAAAATGGATGATTACTTTTACAGGCTAGATGTGACCAACAGTTGATCTCAGAAGGTGACAAACTGAAAAAGGGTTGAGTATATCACTAACCTAAAGGTAGATGGAGGTCTGTTGTCACGATCTGCTCGGACAGAGCTCTTTCCAAAAAGTTGCCTGTGTCCATCTCTGGGAGTAAATGGTCGCTGGGTGGACTGAACTCGCAGAGACTGTCTGGCTTCACTGACAATTTCTGCACTTGTTTTCCTCAAAGTGTTGCGCCGTGGAATGAAGGGGCTGCAATTCTCATGTTTCCTCTCCATAGAGGCCATTTAGGCCTATGTGACATTTGCCAAGACTGATTGCAAATGACTTCAGTGGTTTGACTTCATTATGCGAGTGGTTACGGCGTGTATCACTGATGGGAAACATAAAGTTTGGAGAATGCCAGAACAGAAAATGAACAGTAGGTGTGAAATGCTTCTGACATTGCTATGAAAAACATCCAATATCCAAATCCTTTACTTTAAAGGTAAAAACACCACAATGTATAATCAATCTTAAACAAAAATATGGAAGCATTATCAGCATGATGGTTTACTTGAACCATGATTTACTTTAATCATAAATCTATTTGGGCTTTCGACTGCTGGTTGAATGAAACAATTCATCTGAATATGTGAAATTGGGTTATTTGAAACTATAACAGACATTTTTCAATATTTTCTGACATTTTACTGACAAATCAATTAGTGATGATTAATTGCAAAAAAAGATTAATCATTAGTTGCAGCCCTAACTGTCAGATGAGTAGAGTTAATATACTCAGTTATTCACCACTGATGGCTAGATAGTATTTCTTTTTCCATCCAATGGTCACACGCTTTTTGATGGATACTAAAATGAGACCAACAGTGTGACAGTCCAAAAACAGCTTTTTCTAGGCTTGGAAAAGAGCAGCCTATGGTTTGTCACTTTGAATTAGAGTGCAAAAACGGACTGTAATTTTGGCTAATGATTGAATTTACTGTAGTTAAAATGCAATAAAATGTAGATAACTTCGACGTGGTAAATTATTAAATTTGGTGGATTTTACGACTTAAATGTAAGTGAATGAGAAGTCCCTCTGCGCGTTCACGCTCCGTCTCCATGGTGACCAAATGCTGCGGTGGTAGCTAGGACAACAAACCCAATCAACTAAATAGTAACGTTATAGAAGGCGAGATAAAGTGTTTTTTATCAACTAGATGTAAGGACAGTTGTAAACGTCTGTTCTGTAGTACGTGTACTCAACTCTTTCATGACCGGAAAAGGAGCTGAGAGACAGAATGCGTTTTGAAAGGCAGGTATGACAGCCTACCCACTAGTTAAACGAATCGTGAAGTAAACCAGAAAACTCACCGATAACCGCCGTGAAACCTTGTGTAGGAAATAGTTTTGGACAGATGTCACTCCAACTCTTGAAGTAGCCCTTTCACAAAAGACATGGACAACTACTACAGCTGAAATTTGTTGAAAATTGTAAAGTTTTCGAGCTTGCAGCAAACTAGCTTGAGGAAGACGCGTGCACGAGCAGCGGCAGTCTTGCGCGCCTGTGACGCGCGTTCACCGGCGTTGGATGGTGCAAACTTTCATCAAAGGACCGTGCGTTCATCCCCAGGTATTTTGTTGATTTAAACTGTGTTACAAATCGTCCTAATACAGGCACTGTATATTAACGATAACTAAGTTAAATAAAATGTAAATTGATTTGAAAAAATCAAGTGAGGGTTGAAAAAGTATATTTTTATTTTGTGGAGGTCGCTGACGAAATGATGGGACACGTAAGGTGCATGTATACAAGTCTTCGTCCTCGATTGAGGTACTCTGGCATAGTTTAGTTTATTTGACATTAAGAGAAGGAAGGCATTCAATCACACAAAACAACACAAATTTAAAGAAAGGCACTTGCCCATATAACTGGCCTATTTACATTGTGGATCATGGTGTAAAGACAACATGCATCAATAAAATCACTCCAAGCTAAAGAAATTAAAAAGAAATTATGATTACATACCAATTATAGCCAGAATAGTAAGCTTGCACTTCCAAGTTTCCCATAAGACATACAGTGCTTTGACCATTCTAATGAAATGAATATTCAGTTTATTCTACACTGAAGAATACTTTAAACCTGAGACTAATCCTGGGCACTAAAATGTGGATATTTTATTGCATATCAAACCATGCGCATATGCCCAAATTCAAGCACATTACACCACTGAAATATTCATATCATGTTTGAAAAAGTGCAACTGTTTCCTTTCAGTAAACTATAAAGCCAAAATGTTGAATAGTCCAACATGATGGTTTATAATGTACCTCTCCCACTCAGTGACATTCACTGATCACTGACCCATTATGAATTTATCTCACAATACTGAGAATGTTTAAAATTTACTACATTATGTTGATATTAGAGAAACATAACATGTTTCTTGATATCATTTGTTGATTGACAGGAAAAGGCATTTATTTATTTTTTCATGTTGGCAGCAATATGGTGTCATACAATTTAAAAGACTCCAAGACAAACAAACAGGTTGTAGAGACCAGCACAGATTTGTGGTAAACACTGTAGCCAAAATTTGATAAAGCATGTCAACAAAAGTCACAAATCAGTATCACACTGAAGGAAGAAAACAAATAGCTCCAATAACAAAAGACAAAATTTTGCTCATTTAGAAATAATTGCTCATTATTACATTGCTGTTCAGTAGCAGCTTGAAATCCAGCGTAACTGTTAGTAAGACTCATCCGTTTTGCCCTCTGAAAAAAATCTGACACACACTGAAGCATAGACATGACAAATTACTTCAGAGAGAAACAGTGAGAGATATCAAGCAAAGATATATTGTGTATCTTTGGTTGCTATTGACCCTACACTTCAAGGTTTATTAAGTTCAGAGTACTCTTTTTTTCCCTAGTACTTTCAGACTACCATTCAGCATTGATACCTTCAGTCACTGTAGTTGTTGTTTTCATGACCACACTGTAGTTGGGGGCAGCAGTCGTAGCTGTAGCTCTACTTTCACCTCTCCTCTAATTCATGTTAAAGACACATCAGGTCAGTCTCCATAATCCTGTGAGCCAGATGTCTTGTTCTCTTACGTTACAATATTATCTATCCAAGTTAAATAGGCTACTGGCTGATAATGTAATTCAACGAAAGATACAGAGCAAAGTTCATCATTAAAAATGAATTATACTCTCTGATTTTACAGATACAGACCAAAGTTTGATCAAGTACAATATGACAAAGTTGTATATTCACTTTCATCAAAATTGTTCTATTTTGGTTGTTTACATTCGGATTTGTCCGCCATTTTGTAGTCACACAAAGTATGACGTTTCAAAAAATGAGTGGACACAAAATGGCCGCAGACTTACGCTGTGTTCGTCAGCGAGTTTCACTCTGTAGTTGTTGTCCACTGCAAGTTGGTCTTTGATACAGCATTCCTGCTCCGCAAGAAAGACCAATAGTTGGTTGCCCCCCTGACACATACTGTAGTTGCACAGGAGAACTGAAGACCTCCAGCTTTTACTTCCTCTGTCCATTCGATTTAACCCAGACATCCCTGCTCTCTTCAAGCTTCATGTACTGCAACTCAAGCGTCAGTGCAGCAAAGTAGTAGAATTTGATCGATATTCATGGATAAACTCAGGGTTCAAGAGGAGTACATGATGCACAAGTTCAGTCATTCAACTCACGCTTCGCTCTGGGTCTCTTTAACCCGTCTAGATGGGTCGACCACTTTAAACACCAATCAGGTCTGTCTGGATTTGCACATTCGTCCACTCGTAAACCTTTTCCCCCTGCTTTTTATTTTTTACACTGTGAAATATACATCTGAACCATCTTGTGAGTCTCTGGTTGGATTTAAATAGCCTTACATGCTTCAGTCTCTTGGATACAGTGAACCTGATTGGCCGAGAGTGCTTGCTGGGCATGCCCAATCACAGGGCATCACCATGGAGCTCAACAGCCAATGGGAGGAGGAAGATGGTCTCTGTGATTTCATTGTCACTAAGGGAGGGGGAAACATACTGCCAGGACAGTTGGCACTAACATGTTAAGCAGTGGACTGTATAGTCAGAGTATATATGTGTGAGATAACCTGTGGAGCCAGATCAGGAGCGTTGCTGATGAGAGAAAAGCACAAGGCGGGTCTTAAAATGAATCTCCTCTCACCAGGAGCTACACAGTCCCATGCACACGAGCTCATACTACACCCACGTCACTGTTATCAGTTCTGCTCACGTCACAGGAATGAATGGGTTGATTTGTGAGAGCCATCGTCCTGTTTGAAGGTGGTGTGTCTCCTTGGCAACCAGCTCCATCTCTGGCCAGAAGCTTAGACTGACAGAAAGCAGTCAGCTCTCAGGACAGGGGCTTCTTTACTTTCTCTTAATCACCATTCAGTCCTGGTTTGACTCTTACCACAGTGGTACCTCCTCCTCTCTCCCTCTGTCTTCATCCTTTCCTAACCCTATTTTGCCCCTTAGATAGTGTCTTCTGTCCTTCCTATTTTTTATATTTCTGTTTTTTAATCCTTATTTTTGCCACAAGTGAAAATGTTGAAAAATATATACAGCCAATTTCCCAGAGCCCAAGCTGATGTCATCAAATTGTCTGAAAGACTGTCCAAAAATATTAATTTTCCTCTCATAAAAGATGAAAAAGAAAAGAAAAAGAAAAAAAATTGGCATTTTTTAATGTAAACGATTATCACACACACACACACACACACACACACACACACACACACACACACACACACACACACACACACACACACACACACACAGACCTTTCCAAATGGGCTCATTGTCAGGTGTATCAAATGTACTTCTAATCAATCATACTTTGTAATTTGGCATTATTTACTGCATATCCTCTTGAAGTATATTCTTGAACACGAAAATAGTACTTTACCAAAAAAAATTTAACATGAGTACCACTTATTGGCTTTTTATAGATCTCCATGACAACGAAGAAGAGAACTCCATCCACTGTTGAACACCATCGGATGTGATTGGAAACGCCATGAAATTTCCAGTAAGTTTTTTTTTTTTATCCGTCAAACTACTTGATATCAGTTTTTTGTCAGTCCCAAAAATTCTACACTTTGAAAAATCACTGTTTAGGAATGTTTTTATTTTCATATACACAGTAGGGGCTCCTGTATTGGATGGGACAGAGGTTATTCTGTTTTCCACCAGATGTCTTATCTTCTCATCAGTCAGCTTTTCCAGCAGTGACACAACAAACCGCCTGAGTAAAGTTTTTATGAGCCAGCAGGTTAACATTAGAACATGACAGAA